CGCTTTAAAAACCACAGATTAAAGACGGGCCGAGATAACCAACCGCAGCAGATTAACCCGGCCCATCAACCAGTCCAAACCCGCCCCTCTCCCGAAACACGGAGCCCCGCGCTAAGCCCCGCCCCTCTCCCTAAACACGGCGCCTTGCACTAAGCCCCGCCCTATCCCGAAACCCTGTCCCTCTCACTGAACAAGGTGCAGAGCTGGATGAACACTGCAGGCCAAGCAGCATCACAGGAGCAGAAAGGCTGACGTTTCGGGCCTAGACCCTTCATCAGAAATGGGGGAGGGGAGGAGAGGAGAAGGGGGTTCTGAAATTAATAGGGAGAGAGGGGGAGGCGGATAGAAGATGGATAGAGGAGAGGATAGGTCGAAGAGGCGGGGATGGAGCCAGTAAAGGTGAATGTAGGTGGGGAGTTGGGGAGGGGATAGGTCAGTCCAGGGAGGACGGACAGGTCAAGGGGGCAGGATGAGGTTAGTAGGTAGGAGATGGGGGTGCGGCTTGAGGTGGGGGGAGGAAGAACAGGTTAGGGAGGCGGGGGACTGGTTTTGGGATGCGGTAGGGGGAGGGGAGATTTTGAAGCTTGTGAAATCAACATTGATACCATTGGGTTGCAGGGTTCCCAAGGGGAAGATGAGTTGCTGTTCCTGCAACCTTCGGGTGGCATCGTTGTGGCACTGCAGGAGGCCCAGGATGGACATGTCGTCTGAGGAATGGGAGGGGGAGTTCAAATGGTTCGCGACTGGGAGGTGAAGTTGTTTATTGTGAACCGAGCGTAGGTGTTCTACAAAGCGCTCCCCGAGCCTCCGCATGGTTTCCCCGATGTACCTGTTTCCCACAACAGGTACAGCGGATGCAATATACCACATTCGCAGATGTGCAGGTGAACATCGTCCCCGCCTCCCTAACCTGTTCTTCCTCCCACCTATCCCCTCCTCCCACCTCAAGCCACACCCCCATCTCCTACCTACTAACCTCATCCCGCCCCCTTGACCTGTCCGTCCTTCCTGGACTGACCTATCCCCTCCCTAACTCCCCACCTACACTCACCTTTACTGGCTCCATCCCCGCCTCTTCGACCTGTCTGTTTCCTCTCCACCTATTCTCTCCTCTATCCATCTTCTATCCGCCTCCCCCCTCTCCCTATTTATTTCAGAACCCCCTTCCCCTCCCCCATTTCTGATGAAGGGTCTAGGCCCGAAACGTCAGCCTTTCTGCTCCTATGATGCTGCTTGGCTTGCTGTGTTCATCCAGCTCTGCACCTTGTTGTCTCGGATTCTCCAGCATCTGCAGTTCCTACTACCTCTCACTAAACACTGCGCTGCTTTCTCTGCACAGATGCTGCCAGACTTCCTGAACATTTCCAGCAATTTCTGTTTTGTGCCACATACACAGACCCCGCCCCTTTCTGATCAAAATAAAAACCGAAAGAACTGTGGATGCTGTAAATCAGGAACAAAAACAGAAGTTGCTGGAAAAACTTAGCAGGTCTGGCAGATCTGTGGAGAAAAAAATCCGTTAACGTTTTGGGTCCAGTGACCCTTCCTCAGCACTTTTAGTTCCTTTCCGATCAAACCCCACCACTCTATCTAAACACAGTGCCTGCCTCGAAAGCTACATACCTACCTCATCCCTCCCTCTAAAACCCCCTGCCCCTAAATTAACCCCTCCTCACAGCTCTCAAGCCAATCACTTTTGAGCCTCCCTCAGGCAAAGCCTAACTTTTCCTTGACTTTACATTGAGCCTTCACACTCAATGGACCATCACCATCATTTCCACCATCCCCAGATATATCACACCCTCTGCTTCCCCGTCAACATTTTGAAGGAACTGTTCCTCTGCAAAACATTTCTCCATTCCTCAAAAACCAAAGAAACAAGAGCTTCTTCTGAAGGGTCACTAGACCCGAAAAGTTAATTTTGCTTTTTCTCCACAGATGCTAACTCTGTCGAGCTTTTCCAGCAATTTCTGGTTTTCATCCTTTCCCTTTCCCTCGATACCTTTCCACACAGTGAAGGTGTAGCAGGTTACCTTTCGCCAGGCTCTTTCCTTATTCAAATACAATGCTGTACTACTAATGTGCGAGCTGGCTTGCTATGTGCATGTTACATACACCATGCAGGTATCTTTCATCCAGCCAGTTCAGTGAAGGCACAATACAAATGATGGTGTTTTTTGCACTCATGTGAGTACATTTTATATTATTATCCTTTGGGAATTTGGATTTTAAGGTAAAATAAAGTAGTCATTTCAGTTCTGTGAAGTTAACTTTAATGTAACATCTGGGATCATCACAAAATGGGGACTCATGCAGGATTGGAATTTGTTGAATTTGAGAGATCTGAAATGAGTATGTGAGGGTAATGGGCCTAAAACAGAAGTGTTGTTGTGAATATATTATGTTGTCAATATGTTTTTTAAAGTCGCTAAAACTTTTCTGAGAGTAGAAGACATAACAGTGGAATATTTTAAATCTTTGGCTATGGGTGAACTGATAGACTTAGTAGGATTTTGTAAGGATGAAATACTCAAAGTGATTCGCCATCATTTAGTTTTAGAAAGAGGGAAACCTGAAATTGAGATGCCACCACGAGAAATATGAAAGATTTAGTTTGATTTTCTTTTAAGTAAAACATCAGTTAGAGGAAAAAGAGACAAAAAGATAAATGAAAAATATATCAAATTTGAAGAAAAAGGGAAAAGAGAAATGTAAAGGGAGCAGAAAGGAAGAAAGGAAAAAAAGAAGAGCAATGGAAAGGGAAACGGAATTGAAAAAGCTTGAACTACAAAGAGAGAAGGAAACCAGACATGACCAACGTTAAGTGCTGTATTGCCATTTCGTAATACTTTCAGTACTTATCCAGGCATTCAGTTGTGCAGAAAACAAGTTGAAAAACATTCCCAGGTGGCTCCATTGTCAACTGCATAAAAGAATGGTTATCGCGGACAGTGAAGGTTATGCAGTTACCTTCATGCCAAAACTTTTTATTACATTAGGCCTATTTTCCTATATTTTTCCAATTTCTCCAATTGCTCTTTGTCATGTCCAAATAATCCTTAACAATCTGGTCTGGCGATATCACTTTTTAAGCTCAAAACTCTCTGCATATCCTGCCACTTACAATGATCTATGCGCATAGGTACCTCTGCTTCTTCATCCCTTTACACCTAAAACAACAAAGAAAATTACAGTACAGGAACAGGCCCTTTGACCCTCTAAGCCTGCACCGACATGCTGCCAGGCACAACTAAAACCCCCTACCCTTCCGGGGACCGTATCCCTCTATTCCCATCCTATTCATAAATTTGTCAAGACACCCTTTAAAAGTCACTATGGTATCTGCTTCCACTACCTCCCCTGGCAGCAAGGCACCCATCACCCTCTGTGTAAAAAACTTGCCTTGTACATCACTGTTAAACCTTGCCCCTCACACCTTAAACCCATGGCCCCTGGGAACTGACTCTTCCACCCTGGGAAATAGCTTCTGACTGTCCAGTCTGTCTGTGCCCTTCATAATCTTGGAGACCTCTATCAGGTGTCCCTTCAACCTCCATAGTTCCAGTGAGAACAACCCAAGTTTCTCCAACCTCTCCTCACAGCTGATGTCCTCCATACCAGGCAACATCCTGGTAAATCTTTTCTGTACCCTCTCCAAAGCCACCACATCCTTCTGGTAGTGTGGTGACCAGAATTGAACACTATTCCAAATGTGGCCTAACTAAGGTTCAATAAAACTGCAACATCACCTGCCAATTTTTAAACTCAGTGCTCCAGCCGATGAAGGCAAGCATGCCATATGCCTTGTTGACTACCTTTTCCACCTGCATTGCCACTTTCAGTGACCTGTGTACCTGTACACCCAGATCCGTCTGCCTATCAATACTCTTAAGGGTTCTGCCATTTACTGTATATTTTCCATCTGGATTAAATCTTCCAAAATGCATTACCTCACATTTTTCTGGATTAAACTCCCTCTGCCATCTCTCTGTTCAAGTCACCAACCGATCTATATCCTGTTGTATCCTTTGACAGGCATCATTGCTATCTGCAATTCCTCCAACCTTCGTGTCATCGGCAAACTTACTAATCAGACCAGTTATATTCTCTTCCAAATCATTTGTATATATTACAAACAGCTAAGGTCCCAACACTGATCCCTGAAGAACACCACTAGTCACAGCCCTCCATTCAGAAATGCACCCTTTCACGGCTACCCTCTATCTTCTATGATCGAGACAGTTTTTTATCCATCTTGCAAGCTCACCTCTGACCCCATGCAACTTTACCTTCTGTATCAGCCTGCCATGAGGACCTGTACCCCCTATTTCATATCGTCTTTCAATATTCTTCCTAACAAAATGCATCACCTCTGCATTGAAACTCACCTGCCAAACAGGGTCTGAAGAAGGGTCACTGGACTTGAAATGTTAACTCTACTTCCCTTCCACAGATGCCACCAGGTCTGCTGGGTTTCTCCAGCAATTTCTGTTTTTGTGCCAAACAGCTACCCACTCCACCAACTTGTTTATGTCCTTCTAATGTTCTACGTTGTCCTTCTCACAGTTTACAATTCTTCTTAGTTTTGTGTTATCTGCAAACTTTGAAATTGCCCCCTGCACACCAAACTCGAAGTCATTAATATAAATTACGAAAAGAAGGGTTCCAATGCAAATTCCTGGGAAACTCCACTACAAACGTTCCAACAGCATACTGTGCAGTGTAATAGAGTCCTAACACCAACACTGTTTACACTGTATTGCATTGCACAGTTGGCTGGCGTTGGTACTCTATTGCACAAAGTACAGGTGTTCCGTCCCTATTGCATTGCACAGTCTACTGGTGGGAGGTTAGCAGTCTACTGCATCGCACGTTTTGCTGGTGTTGGCACTCTACTGCATTGTGCAGTGTGCTGTTGTCGGGACCCTTGCTGCGCGCCGTCCCTGTGCTGTGAGCCGTGCTCTTGGCGCTGACGCGGTGCTGATCTCATTTCCAGTTAAGATGGCGGCTGTGCGAGCTTTTCGAACGGTTGTTGGGGCTGAGGGGCTCAAGTTGCGGCTGGGTGTCGGGAGGACCCCGCTCCGACAGGTACCGGAGGGGGTGGGATTCACAGTTCAGTGGCGGATACTCCAAGGGGAATCAGGCAGTTCAGGAGGGACGGGGCAGCCTGAGCTTGGTGCGGTTGTCCCGGTGGGATGTTACCCTGGTCCATTCCCTGCCTGATTTTTGTCTGCTGCTGAACGTCGGTCCCGAGACCGGGACCTGACAAATGTCACCCTCACAACAAACTGCTGCGCTGTCAGTCAGCCCATCAAGTTAGACCCACTTTATACCCAATACCTTAAAATTTAACATCGAGTGAGACTAGTTAGATTTTCTGAGAGATGACCATCATTGCCACATTCTGTATCTGCTCATTACATTTCTTGATTCTTTACTGACGAGATGTCAATTAACTTAAAAAACTTGTGCAGTGTTAACTGTCAGGTACTAGACGGAAGTATTGGGCTGAAATTTCCTGTAATTCCATCTGTTTTTATTTCCTTCACTATGTTTGCAGTGTTACGCTCCACCCCGTATCTAGGTGCATCGTGATTTTCAGTGCGCAACGTGTGTCAAAATAAAGAAGGATGAAGTTGAGAAGGTGTTAATGAGGCAAGGACGTAGGTTGATCGATTCTGTAAGTGAATTAGCCTTAACTGCCAAAGAGGACATTACATAGCAGCCAACTGGAATGCTGTGTTACAGTGAAAAAGTGATATGAGACTTCAGAATAAAACCTGTCAAACATTCTGGCTTGGGGCTGCAGAAGGTGGTTCAAGGTATCAGATAGCACCAGTGCTGATAGATACCATTGCCCTGTTTCAGGTGTTGAAATGAGTTGTATAGGACAATAATTAACTGAATGCTAAGGATGTTAAGTAAGACAGAATCTTAGCTCAGAAAAACTGAATATTGAATGAGAGATTATGAAAAAGAAGGATCAGAAAACATTATTAAAAGTTTCTAGGCCCCCTAACAGGAGTTATGCTGTTGAACAGTATATTAAGCAAGAAATACTTGGACCTTGTAACACATTCAATGTAATAGTTGTATAAGACTTTAATCTTCACGTAGACTGAATATATCAAACGTGAAAAGGGTTGTTTGGACAATGAGTTTGTGAAATACTTCTGTGACAATTTCCTGGAACAACATGTGGTAGAACCAGCTACCACATATTATAGTCATCTTAGATATTAGTATTATGTAATGAGGCAGATTTAATGAGTGATTTCACAATAAAAGATACCCTAAGGGGAAAGAAGCATCAAAATGCTATTAAATTCTCTGTTAAATTCAAGGTGATATGTTCCAGTCCTAAACAAAAATCTAAAACACAACTGATTATACAATAATGAAAGGAGGTCTGGCTATGTTAATCAGGTAAGCAGACCTTGTAAATAAACAGTGGGAAACATTTAAAGAAGCAATTCAAGATTTTGACAAGCAGAAACGTGACATTTGATGGGGAATAAGGAAGTAGCAGAGATGGTGAACATTTTGCCTGTCTTCATAGAACAAAGAAAATTACAGCACAGGAACAGGCCCTTCGGCCCTCCAAGCCTGCGCCAATCCAGATCCTCTATCTAAACCTGTCACCTATTTTCCAAGGATCTATATCCCTCTGCTCCCTGCCCATTCATGTATCTGTCTAGATACATCTTAAATGACGCTATTGTGCCCGCCTCTGCTGGCAATGTGTTCTAGGCACCCACTACCCTCTGTGTAAAGAACTTTCCACGCATATCTCCCTTAAACTTTTCCGCTCTCACCTTGAAATCGTGACCCCTAGTAACTGAGTCCCCCACTCTGGGAAAGAGCTTCTTGCTATCCACCCTGTCTATACCTCTCATGATTTTGTAGACCTCAATCAGGTCCCCCCTCAACCTCCGTCTTTCTAATGTAAATAATCCTAATCTACTCAACCTCTCTTCATAGCTAGCGCCCTCCATATCAGGCAACATCCTGGTGAACCTCTGCACCGTCTCCAAAGCATCCACATCCTTTTGGTAATGTGGCGACCAGAACTGTACGCAGTATTCCAAATGTGGTCGAACCAAAGTCCTATACAACTGTAACATGACCTGCCAACTCTTGTACTCAATACCCCGAGCAATGAATGAAAGCATGCCGTATGCCTTCTTGACCACTCTATCGACCTGCATTGCCACCTTCAGGGTACAATGGACCTGAACACCCAGATCTCTCTGTGCATCAATTTTCCCCAGGGCTTTTCCATTTACCGTATAGTTCGCTTTTGAATTGGATCTTCCAAAATGCATCACCTCGCATTTGCCTGGATTGAACTCCATCTGCCATTTCTCCGCCCAACTCTCCAATCTATCTATATTCTGCTGCATTCTCCGACAGTCCCCTTCACCATCTGCTACTCCACCAATCTTAGTGTCATCTGCAAACTTGCTAATCAGACCATCTATACCTTCCTCCAGATCATTTATGTATATCACAAACGACAGTGGTCCCAACACAGATCCCCTGTGGAACACCACTGGTCACCATTCTCCACTTTGAGAAACTCCCTTCCACTACGACTCTCTGTCTCCTGTTGCCCAGCCAGTTCTCTATCCATCTAGTTAGTACACCCTGGACCCCATGCGATTTCACTTTCTCCATCAGCCTACCATGGGTAACCTTATCAAACGCCTTACTGAAGTCCATGTATATAACATCTACAGCCCTTCCCTCATCTATCAACTTTGTCACTTCCTCAAAGAATTCAATCAAGTTGGTAAGACATGACCTTCCCTGCACAAAACCATGCTGCCTATCACTGCAAATGTAAATAGATCCTATCCCTCAGTATCTTAACCAGCAGCTTCCCCACCACTCACCGGTCAGGCTCACCGGTCTATAATTACCTGGATTATCCTTGCTACCCTTCTTAAACAAGGGGACAACATTAGCAATTCTCCAGTCCTCCGGGACCTCCCCCGTGCTCAAGGATGCTGCAAAGATATCTGTTAAGGCCCCAGCTATTTCCTGTCTCGCTTCCCTCAGTAACCTGGGATAGATCCTATCCGGACCTGGGGACTTGTCCACCCTAATGCCTTTTAGAATACCCAACACTTCCCTCCTCCTTATGCTGACTTGACCTAGAGTAATCAAACATCTATCCCTAACCTCAACATCCGTCATGTCCCTCTCCTCGGTGAATACCGACCCAAAGTACTCATTAAGAATCTCACTCATTTTCTCTGACTCCTCACATAACTTCCCTCCTTTATCCTGGAGTGGGCCAACCCTTTCTCTAGTTACCCTCTTGCTCCTTATGTATGAATAAAAGATTTTGGGAAAAGATGCAAATAATATATCATTTAAAAAATTATAACCGTGGATCTAATGAAAGGATAAAACTTAAGATCAATTGAGTAAAAACATTGGAGAAACTTAAGGGTCTAAAAGGTGATAAATACGCAGGACCTGATTGTCTAGATTCAAGAATTCTAAAAGACAGAGCTGCAGAAGTAATGGATGCATTTATAGAGTCATACAGCATGGAAATAGACCCTTCGTTCCAACCAGTCCATGCCGAACATAATCTCAAACTAAACTAGTCCCACTTGCCTGCTCCTGGCCTATATTCCTTCAAACTTTCCTATTCATATATCCATCCAAATGTCTTTTAAACTTTGTAATTGTGCCCACATACACCACTTCCTCCGGAAGTTCATTCCACACTTGAGCCACCCTGTGTGTAAAACATTTTGCCTCTTGCATCTTTTTTCAATCTCTGTCCTCTCACCTTAAAAATGTGCCCCCTAGTCTTGAAATTCCCCATCTTAGGGGAATGACAACTACCATCAACTCTATCTGTACCTGTCATTATTTTATAAACTTCTTTCAGGTCACCTCTCAACCTCCTACACTCAAGTCAAAGAGTCCCAGTCTATCCAGCCTTTCCTTATAACTGAAACCTTCCATACCTGGCAACATCCTGGTAAATCTCTTCTGAACCCTCTCCAGCTTGATAATATCTCAAGGTTCCAATGGGTTGGAAGTTAGCAAAAGTCACATAGCTATTCACAGAAGGAAGGAGAAAGAAAACAGGTGCTAAGGGTGAGATAGCCTGAACATAGTCATTTGGAAAATCCTCAGATCTGTTATTAAGGAAGTCTTTAAAATGCAGTTAGAAAATGATAGTATAATTAGACAATTCAACATGGTTTGTGTTTTCGAGAGTGCAAATAGTGAGTTCAGAAAAGGAAAGCCAGTGGAAGTAGTATACTAATGCTTGTAAACTGCATTTGGTACAATTCCACACTAAGGTTAAAATGCAAGGTAAAGTGCATGGTGTTGTGTTGCAATTAAAATATGTAGGGAGTAGGTGTTCTAAGTATCTTAAGAGAAATATACAGGGATGTGGGAGGAGGGTGTGAGGGTGCCACAATGAAATTGCTCCTTCAGAGGCCCAACATGGATGCAGTGGGATGAATGGCCTTCTGTGTGATAACGTTTCTATGATTCTGTAGAATATAGTTTGAAGAAGCGTAAGGTTGTTCACTTTTTTAGAAAGAATAGAAAAGCAGAATATGTTATTAAAGTGTGAAATTTTTTTTAAAATATTGATATTCAGAGACATTTGGGTGTATTTGTACAAGAAAGTGTTAATGCATATCCTAGAAACATAGTGGCTGCAAAAAGAGATCAGAAGCCTGAAATTCTATGGTGATTAATTCACCACCTGATTCTCCAAAGGTTGTCCATTATCCCCTATGCACAACACTGGAGGATGATAGGACACTCTCCACTTGTCTGCATGACTGCACCTTCAACAACACTTGAGAAACTTGATGTCATCCAAGACAAAGCAGCTTGCTTGACTTGGCACTTCCTCCACCCCTGACACACAGTAAGTGCAGTGTGTACCATGGCAATCTGCACCTTCTAAACCTATAATATCTGTCATCTCAAAGAACCAGAGTAACAGATGCTTGGACATACTAGGACTTGAATGTCCGCGTCCAAATCTCCAAATATTCTGACTTTGAATAGTATCGCTGTTGTATCATGGGATCACACTGACGTGATCTAAATGACGTGAAGGCTGAACACACCACATCAAAGGAAGTCGGGGATGGACAATAAATACCTGCCTTGCCAGCAACGTGCACGTCCCAAGAACAAACATTTTTTAAAAATTGGGTGGATTCTATGTAGGCTGTTTTTCCAACAAGTGATTTAAGTACAAGAAGAAGTAAGTCTAGCTGCTGTTGTGTAGGGTTTTGGTAAGACCGCACCTGGAATGTTGTGTACAGTTTTGACCTCCATAACTCAGGCAGGATATACTTGTCTTCGAGGCAGTACAGCAAGGAGTCACTGGATTGATTCCTTGCACAGTAGGTTGTCTTCTGAGACGCTGAGTAAATTGGGTCTATATTCTCAGCAGCTTAGTAAAATGAGAGGTTATCTCATTTAAAGACACCAAAGTATTGATTCCCTTGACAGGAGAATCTAAAACGTGGCCACAACCTTAGTATAAAGGGCTGATCATTTAGGAATGAAGTGAAAAAGTTCTTCACTCACCTAGTTGTGATCTTGGAACTGTCAATCCAAAAGGAATGTGAATGCTCCATTGTCGCATATGTTGCAAGAGTGAATAATGGAGTTTGATCTCTT